GTTAATACTTGGGTCAAGATTAAAGCACAGGAAGTGAAAGCCTTCACCAAACACATCAAGTCTGTGGACAGATACATTAAGCCTCGGTGACACAGTGGTTAGAGTGCTGTAGTGCAGGCCACTTCTGCTGACTATTGGCTGCCTGTAATTTGGCAGTTCAAATCCCTCCAGGCTCAAGGTTGACTCAGTCTTCCATCCTTCTGAGGTCAGTAAAATGAGGACCCAGATTGTTGGGGGCAATATGCTGACTCTGTTAAACCACTTAGAGAGGGCTGTAAAGCACTATAAAGCAGTATACAAGCCTAAGTGCTATTGCTATTGCTACGTTCACAACAAGGGAAGATGTTAAGGAAAACTTTCTGGCTTTCCTGGACTGTCTTGTGCACCTTAAGGAAGACAGAAGCCTTAACACTGAATTTTACAGAAAACCAACACACACTGTTTAGTATTTGCATTATAATTCTTACCACTCACTAGAATACAAAATGGGAATGCTCAGAACTCTACACCACTGGGCTGATAGTTTGCCTGCCATTCCTGGTGGGAATCTTTCTATTCCCATCACTATGGCAACCAACTAATCTCCAGTATTTGAAGGGCTGCCACAAAGAAGAGGTCAACCTATTTTCCAAAGCACTAGAAGGCAAGTCAAGAAACATGGATAGAAACTAATCAAGGAGCAAAGCAGCCTAGAACTAGAGAGAAGCTTCCTAACAGTGAGAACAATTACCCAGTGGAAAAACTTGCCTCCAGAAGTTGTGGGTACTCCATCACTAGAGGCTTTTAAGAAGAGACTGGACAGCCACTTGTCTGAAATGGTATAGGATGCTTGAGCAGGGGGGTGGACTAGAAGACCTCCAAGGTCCCTTCCAAGTCTGTTACTCTGTTATTCTGGTTATAACTGAGTAATTCAGTTAACATTTGAGAGTTTACTGAAGACTTTGTTGAACTTTGGAGTCATTAGCCCAAGGCCCTATATTTATATTTAAAAAATCAACCTAAATATGAAAAAGGGTGCATTAAATTTACAGACTCCCAATCCAAGTGTCAGTTGTATTTGCGTGTCCAGGATCCACAAGGCAGGGAAGAGGGCAGGGATTCCCACAAAGTGTTCCTCAAAATAATTGCATCTTGGGTTGATGGTAAAACAAAATCAATTTTTGGTTTGGCTACTTTTGTCCATTGCCACTAAAGTCTCGTGTGGATCATGCAGTCTTTTTTAATAATGTGAGCTTGTTCCAAGCCTTACAAAACACTGAAACATTTGATTTGATTGGAAGCATCGCAGTGAGACAGTTGGGGAATTAGCAGGCTCTGATGAGCTCCGCGAAAACCCGGACTGACGAACCGCTGCCGAGGGGTCTTCGAATCAGAACCATCCTGTAGGGATGGGGAAGAAGGAGAGGCACCTCGGAAGATCAAGAGGAACAGGCAAGTTCCTTGAAGGTCAGAGGAAACTCTCTATGACTCAGTGGTGGGGGACGGTAGCCATTGCAGCTGTCACGAAGCTGAGGCAACCAGACTAAGCATTGAGCAGGAATGATGAATGGAACAGAGGTTTTTTGAAGCCGGGTAAGTGACAGCCAACCCATGGTTGAAACAACAATAAGGATTTTTTTTTAACTTTAGTACCCCTAGCGATAAAACAGTTGCTAATGAGCATGGGGGGATGAAAAGAAGATTTTGAAGCGTAATCTTAAAGGGACAAAAACCCAAGGGAAAATTGACTTTTGAACAAAATTATTTGGAAATAATTTGGAAAATTTTAAATAATAAGAGAACTAGCCCACCAATAAGAGTGTATGCAACATTGTGCTTGCGTCAGTTATTTGGTGTTTTCTGTAGCAGCATTTGAATTTGAGTTTCAGTCATTTTGAGCGCAGATCTTTGTTAACGTATTTTTTAAAAATAATGTTGGGGCCAAGTTTTCTGCCAAAAAAAGTGTGATTTGGTGACCCAAACTTCAAAGAAACTGTTCTAAAATGATATGGAGAAGCAGAGAGTGATCTGAGTGAAATGGAATCAGATTATTATGATATTTTTTTTAATGGACGACGAGGAACCTGCCACTGCCACCGTTTCTGATATCAGTGATGATGAAGCTCCCAATGAAATTGATGACCAGGTACAATCTATGTCGTGCAATAATTTATATAGCAAGAACAAATTCAAATGCATCTCTGCATCTTTTGGAAGCAATAGATCCAGAACAGAATAGTCACAACATTGTTGTGGAATTACCTGGACTATGGTCAGCAGCTAGAAATCTTAGAAATTCATCTACTCCCCTAGAGATTTGGAAATTATTATTTTTCTAAAGAAATTATTAGTGCCATCATTCAGTGGACCAATGTAAAAATTAGGGAAGAAAGATTGAAGTTCAAGAATGGAGAAACAAAAAGTGGCCTGTGTGATGGAGATTTGATAGAGATCAATACATTTTTTTTTTAGTTTACTGCTTTATACATCAATTTTTAGATCCAACCATGAAAACATTTAATGTCTTTTTGTTAGTGAGGTCATTATGACCTCATGTCTGTAATAGCGTAGCTGAAAGAGTATGTCTGTGATTTAGGTGGAGCTGATTGTTTGCCTATGCAGTCCCTCCTTGGAGGCAGACTTGACAAAATGCACTTTTATTTTGTTTTGTTACGTTGTTGTTGTTGTTGTTGTTGTTGTTGTTGTTGTTGTTGTTATTTAAAGGACTTAGGCTACCTTAGGTGGCTCAAAACAATCCATAAAAACATGGATAAAAAGAAAAGTACACTTCTCCCCAGGAACCAGACCAATAAACCTTGCAGACCTATCCTACTTAATGCTTTGACATCATTGAATGCTAGATTTGATCACAAATGGTTTGGCCAAATATTTGTTTGTACTAAGACAATCATCTCACATAACATTGCCCAGATTCTAGAATAATTAGACTTTCATTCCATATATGGATTTTGCTGGAAGAGTGTTGAGTAGTGCTATTAGTTATACAATGTTGGCACAAATAACTAGTCAATTAATTTAACAGAATAACAAAGATAAAAGAGATCTTGGAGTCCAACATCCTGCTCAGGCAGGAAACCCTATACCATTTCAGACAAATGGCTGTCCAATTTCTTCTAAAAAACCTCCAGTGTTGGAGAGCACTCACAACTACTGGAGACAAGTCATTTCACTGATTAATTGTTCTAATTGTCAGGAAGTTTCTCTTTAGTTCTAAGTTGGTTCTCTTCTTGATTAGTTTCCATCCCTTGCAGAAGTGGTATTCAGCAGGTTCTGACCCATTCTGGAGAACTGGTAGTGGAAATTTTGAGTAGTTCAGAGAACCGGTAAATACCATCTCTGACTGGCCTCTCCCCCATCTATTCTCTGCCTCCCAAGTCCCAGCTAATCAGGAGGAAATTGGGATTTTGCAGTATCCTTCCCCTGGAGTGGGGTGGGAATGGAGATTTTACAGTATCCTTCCCCTTCCACGCCCACTAAAGCACACCCACCAAGCCATGCCCACAGAACTTGTAGTAAAAATTTTTGAATCCCACCACTGATCCATTGCTTCTTGTTCTGCCTTCAGGTCAGTGGTGGGTTGCTCCCAGTTCTGTCTGGTTCTATAGAACTGGTGGTAAAACCAGTGGGAGGCTCCGCCCACCCACCCAGATGTCATAATTGACAATCTGCACACGCGCAGAAGTGCGTGCGTGTGCTCCCATTGCAAACTGGTAGTAAAGGTAAGTAGAATCCACCCCTGCTTCAGGTGCTTTAGAGAATAGGTTGACCCCCTCTTCTTTGTGGCAGCCCCTCAATATCACCCCAGTCCTTCTTTTCATTAAGCTAGACATACCCAATTTAACCAACTCATCAAACTATCTTCCTACTACAGTATATAATATTCAGTCTTCAATGGGAAAATGCTACATAATCATAAGCATAGAAACAATGAAGGGAAATGAATTTGCCACCTTGGAGTCCATAGGAAAATAAGTGGTTGGGGATATTTTGTTTTATTTTAATAGTGCATTTATTACAGCCATCCAACTCCAGTGCTATGACTCTAGGAAATGTACAGCAGTGTTCTTCTTCTTGAAAACAATAATTATATAATAAAACTACATAAATATATCAAAGGAATTGATCAAAGACATCTTGGGATAGTTATCCACCTAAACTGAAAACCCATAATCTGCTGAAAGATAAAGATAAACTACAATCCAGTTTGCTAATCTGATAAGTAAATACAAGTAAATAAAATAAGATGTCAACTATAACAATAACTACTACAATAATAATAATAATGTTGATCTGACATACTGGTATAATATCTTCTATCCCACGCCAATAAAATGGCCAGCTTAGATAGTTAGCTTAGAACAGAAGATAGTTAGTTAACAGTTTATTAACATAACGTATTTACCCAATCTCACTATACTTCTTGATATAAAAATGTCTTAAAATAATAATAATAAAAAATAATAACCATAATCCTAATCCAAACTCTAACCAATTGTAAAAAAATTCCATCCTTATTGTCACAATGCAAAACCACAAATATTTTCCCCATAAAATGTGACATCACTTCTTATGCTGGTAGCAGGCAGCTTGGTTCATCTTTTGGGGCTCTAACAGGCTAATACATTCTTTTGGATTAAGAAAATAACCAGGGGTGAAATTCAGCAGGTTCTGACAGGTTCTGAAGAACCAGTAGCGGAAATTTTGAGTAGTTCGGAGAACCGGCAAATACCACCTCTGGCTGACCCCAGAGTGGGATGGGAATAGAAATTTTGCAATATCCTTCCCCCAGGAGTGGGGAGGGAATGGGGATTTTCCAATATCCCTCCCCCAGGAGTGGAGTGGGAATGGAGATTTTTGCAATATCCTTCCCCCAGGAGTGGGGAGGGAATGGGGATTTTGCAATATCCTTCCCCTGCCATGCCCACCAAGCCATGCCCACAGACCCAGGAGCAAAAAAAATTGAATTTCATCCCTGAAAATAACAAATATAACGGTTAATGTTATCTTCTTCTTAGGTGCTTCCTGCTGTTCAGTTCAGGCCTCACTACAATTATATAGCATTTAGGGGAAAAGATGCAGAGCAATAAACCAGCACTGGAGGCCAAGATGGAAAAAATCTCCACAGCCACCATGTATTTGCCCTTTGTGCTTAAATAAGTTGGAACAAAGGACACCCAGACACTGCAGAAGACCAACATGCTGAAGGTGATAAACTTGGCTTCATTGAAACTGTCAGGCAAATTCCTGGCCAAGAAGGCCACTGTGAAGCTAATGATAGCTAGGAAGCCCAGAAAACCCAGGACAATATAAAACATGGTGACAGATCCTACATTACACTCCAGGATAATTTCTTTCATCAAGGAATGCATGTCAACATCTGGAAAGGGGGGTGCACTTACCAACCACCAACTGTAAATCAAGGCTTGAGTAAAACAACAGAAAAGAAGAATGCAGTTGGCCATGTGTTTCCTAGACCACCTTCTCATCCTACCTCCTGGTGTGGTGGCCATGAAAGCGAGAACCACAATGATGGTCTTGGCCAAAATAGAAGAAACCGCTATTGAGAAGATGATGCCAAAAGCTGTTTGTCTAATGAGGCACATTAGCTTCCTGGGTTGTCCAATGAAAAGCAAAGTGCTAAGGAATAAAAGCAAGAGGGAAATGAGGAGAACATAGCTGAGATTCCGGTTATTGGCCTTGACAATGGGAGTCTCCCTGTGCTTAATGAAGAGATGAAGCACCAAAGCTGTGAGAAAACAAAACAAAAGGGAAAGAATAGTGAGTGTAATTCCCAAAGGTTCTTCAAATGAGAGGAAGCTGATATTTTTTGGTAGGCAGAGATTCTGGTCTTTGTTGGGATATTGATCTTCTGGACATGGAAAACAGTCATCCAAGTCTATAAAAACAAACAAAGAAATATCCTATTTAATATATTAGAGTTGCATATATAAAATAATTAAAAAGCATGGAAAAGTATATTTTACGAAGTCTGAAAGGACTTTAAAAGGAGATGTTGGACCATTAGATAACTTTAAGATAAAGGTAAAGGTTCCCCTCACGTATACATGCTAGTCATTCCCGATTTTAGGGGATGGTGCTCATCTCCGTTTCTAAGCCGAAGAACCAGCATTGTCCGAAGAAGTCTCCGTGGTCATGTGGCCGGCATGAGTAAACATCAAAGGTTCACGGAACGCTGTTACCTTCCCACCAAAGGTGGTCCCTATTTTTCTATTTGCATTTTTTATGTGCTTTCGAACTGCTAGGTTGGCAGAAGCTGGGACAAGTAACAGGAGCTCACCCCATTACGCGGCACTAGGGATTCAATCCGCTGAACTGCCAACCTTTTGATTGACAAGCTCAGCATCTTAGCCACTGAACCACCGTGTAAAAATAACTTTAGGGGAACATAAAATGTAATACACAACAGATTAAATTTAATATAATATTCAGTACTCAGGTATGACAACCTAAATGCTCATTAAAACTAGTTTATGGCACAGGTTATCATCTGATGGATTTTAAGTGCTGCTGTGCAGAACCTGGCAATTTTATTTGTTGTAGTAGGGTTAGTATCTAAATGCAGCATGGAGGCATAGGTATTTATGTATCAATGGTGAAATGAGGCTCCTTTGAATGTCTTTATTGTACAAGCACTGAAGAAATACTGTTGTTTTTGTATATACAGAATCACAGGGGCATTGTCTCTTCAACCACTTCTTCTTGCTCGCTTCTTGTATCAGGACAGCATAGGAAATGGTATGACATTGTGCCACAGCAAAGATTTGATACTTTGAGTTTAGTTAAGTATGTTATACAGGAGGCAGACCATGTTTTATTGCCCTCACTGGCAATAAAAGTGGGACCTGAGTAAATCCAATTGGTACACTGTGTCTGTTAAGTAGTTTTTTAATGAGGGCTTTGGCCATACGGTATTGCATGCTGAGGAGAAGACATGGAGAGAAGCCCAAGGATGAGAGGTTTTTCCATTGTGGATTGAAGAATAATCCTTCATAGTTAAAGAGATATGACCAAGGAGAAAAAGGATCATTTGTGCCAGTATTTGAGTCTAGCTTCCTCTTCCATGAAGCCTGTCTCTAGTCAGAGGGTGGCCTTATGAGACATAAGGTTGTGGACACTAGGAGTCCCAAGCCTCCTTTTGTTCTACTGTGTTTTCTCCTGATTCTGCCTCAATTGAGAATGAATGAATGAATGAATGAATGAATGAATGAATGAATGAATGAATGAAATCCATTCAATAAGGGATCATCAGCAGTCTGTTTCCTGGAGGAATATGACATCTGTTTCCTGGAGCAACATGTGAGAGATGAAATCAGTAAAACCAAGGTCTTTGATGGATGCAAACCACTCAGCCATATTCCTGATTAGAAGGTGAGCATACACTGGTAATTTCAATGTCAAGCAGAAGCTCTGTGAAATTGGTTGGTTAATATTTGCAAGGGGAATAACTTCCTTTTACTTTTTGGTTGAGATGGTTGTACTTGTATCTCCCTCTGTAGGGGGAAGGTAGAGTACCATCAAGCTCCTACTTTCCTTTCTCTTACTCTTTACATGAGATATCTTCCCCTCTGGGCATTGATGGCAATTGTGGCAGCAAAATGGTTTCCCTTCAATCTTTGTCCTACTGTATCCAGACTTGCAATGTTCATTACACATAGAAAGAGGTAGCACCTGTCAAGAAACACAAGAGGGGAATGTTTTATCATTCCTAAAACAGATAGGAATGTAAATAGATATTACAAGTATCTATTTCCAGGTTATATCCAGTATATAAGGTTGACTCAGCCTTCCATCCTTCCAAGGTAGGTAAATTGAGGACCCAGATTGTGGGGGCAATAAGCTGATTTTGTAGAAACACCGCTTATGGGGGGCCAAAAGCCCTAATAAGCAGGTATATACAAAAGAATGAAGGCTATTGCTATAAATGCATTGTAAGCCGCCCTGAGTCTTCGGAGGAGGGCGGCATATAAATTGAAGTAATAAATAAATAAATAAATAAATAAATAAATAAATAAATAAATAAATAAACAAATAAAATATTATTACAAACAATTTAATTGATGGTGATCTGGAATACAGCTGTGTAAACAAAGAATTTCAAAAGGGGATGAGCACAGGTGAGGGAACACATCAGAAGTGGGATTTACATACTGTAGCAACTGGTTTGCCCAGCACCGGAAATGTGAGGATGCACTGTCCGTGCATGCATGCAGCATCACAAAATATGGCAATTTGCTCACATGCGCCATGCATGCGACGTCAAACAATACAGCAATTTGCTTGTGCACACCATTCGCACACATGTGCGGCGTGAAAAACACAGCGATATTTTTTTTTATTATTATTATTTTTAACATTTTATATTTTAAATTACTAACATTACAAACAACATATACAATATTTCACCCTGTGCTATACATAAGAAAGGAAGATTTGGTTCTTCGTATATATCCTCATGATCGCCAAAATCCACGTTCTCGGGGTACAGGTACCGAAGCATCCAATTTTCCCAGCGCATAGTCCACAAATGGTTTCCAAATTTTCCAGAAAATGTCTTCTTTATAGTCACCATTTCTAATTTTAATATCACATGTCATTTTATCATTTAAAGCTAATTTCCACATTTCACAATACCATTCTTCTATTCTAAAATTCACATCTAATTTCCAATATCTGGCTATTATAATTCTACCCATTATAATCATAATTCTAATCAATTCTTTCTCATATTTTGTTGGTTCTATTTCCTTAATTATCAACAGTAATATAGTTTCTGGTCTCAATATTATTGCTTTCCCCATCATTTCAAATATCATTTCCTCCAATTGTTGCCAAAACTTTTTAACTTTATCACATTTGTACCACATATGTTCATAAGTCCCTAATTCCATATCACATCTCCAACATTGTTTACTAATTTTTTTATCCATCAATGACAATCTTAATAGAGTCAAATACCATTTCCAAACAACCTTATAATTATGCTCTTTAATCCTTACAAATAAAGTCTTCATAATTCTACTCTTCCAATTCACTTTCCAATCTAAATCTGATATTTTAATATTAAGTTCTTTTTCCCAATTCATCTTCATCACCCTTTGTGGTTTTCCATCAAAATTTATAATCTTATATATCTTACTAACGAGTCCCTTTAGCCCAATTTCATCTTTCATAATTTGGAATACTAAATATTCAAATTCAGTTTTACTTCTACTTATCGAACAATTGTCCCTTACCTTCTTAGTCCATTTTTCTATCTGTATTTTTTCAAACCAGCCTAAACCCAATTTTTCAATGATTTCTTTTTTTCTCCTTTCATTTTCTGAAGTTTTTATTTATTTTTATTTATTTATTTATTTTATATTGGATTTCTATACCGCCCTTCTCCCTAAGGACTCAGGGCGGTGTACAGCCAGATTAAAAAAACATGCAGAACAAATATTAAAAACAATTAAAAGATATATAAATTTGGCCCAATTAAAACTCATTTACCAATTAAAAACGTTTAAAACATTTAAAAACAGTTAAAAATTTCATCTTAAGCCAGCCCGGCTTGTTTAAATAAGTGGGTTTTAAGGGCGCGACGGAAGGCACTGAGGTCTTGGATTCTCCTTATCTCTGGGGGGAGCTGATTCCAGAGGGTGGGTGCCCCCACAGAGAAGGCCCTCCCCCTGGGGGTCACCAGCCTGCATTGTTTGGCTGATGGCACCCCGAGGAGGCCCTCTCTGTGGGAGCGCACGGGTCGCTGGGAGGTCGTCGGTAGCAGCAGGCGGTCTCGCAGATAGCTAGGCCCTATGCCATGGAGCGCTTTAAAGGTGATAACCAACACCTTGAAGCGCACCCGGAAGACAACTGGGAGCCAGTGCAGCTCGCGCAGGAGCGGTGTTACATGGGAGCGCCATGCTGCTCCCGTCACTACCCGCGCTGCTGCGTTCTGGACCAGCTGGAGCCTCCGGGTGCTCCTCAAGGGGAGCCCCATGTAGAGAGCGTTGCAGTAGTCAAGGCGAGAGGTGACGAGGGCATGAGTGACTGTGCACAGGGAATCCCGATCAAGAAAGGGCCGCAACTGGCGAATCAGGCGAACCTGACAAAAGGTCCCCCTGGTTACAGCCGTCAGATGTTCCTCCAAGGACAGCTGCATATCCAGGAGGACTCCCAGATTGCGAGCCCTCTCTGTGGGGGCCAATGACTCGCCCCCAATAGTCAGTGATGGAGTCAACTGACTATATCGGGATGCCGGGAGCCACAGCCACTCAGTCTTGGAAGGGTTGAGCTTGAGCCTGTTCCTCCCCATCCAGACCCGTACAGCCTCCAGGCACTGGGACATCACTTCAAGGGCATCGTTGGGGTGGCCTGGGGTGGAGATGTACAGCTGGGTGTCATCAGCGTACTGGTGGTATCTCACCCCAAAGCCACGGATGATCTCACCCAGCGGCTTCACATAAATGTTGAACAGAAGGGGCGAGAGGACCGATCCCTGCGGCACTCCACAAATGAGAGGCCTCGAGGTCGACCTCTGCCCCCCTGCCAACACAAACTGCGACCGGTCGGAGAGAAAGGAGGAGAACCACCGCAACACGGTGCCTCCCACCCCCAACTCTTCCAGCCGGTGCAGCATGATACCATGGTCGATGGTATCAAAAGCCGCTGAGAGGTCTAACAGGACCAGAACAGAGGAACAACCCCTGTCCCGAGCCCTCCAGAGATCATCAACCAACGCGACCAATGCCGTTTCTGTGCTGTGCCCAGACCTGAAACCCGACTGGAACGGATCTAGATAAGATGTTTCCTCCAGGAATTGCGGAAACTGTCGTGCGACCACACTCTCAACAACCTTCGCCATAAAGCGAAGGTTGGAGACAGGACGATAGTTGGCCAATATTGCCGGATCCAGGGACGGCTTCTTGAGGAGAGGCCTCACCACCGCCTCTTTCAAGGCGGTGGGGAAGTAACCCTCACTCAACGAAGCGTTGATAACACCCTGGAGCCAGCCTCGTGTAACCTCCCGGGAAGCCAGTACCAACCAGGAGGGACACGGGTCCAGTAAACATGTGGCCGCACTAAGTCTCCCCAAAATCCTGTCCACATCATCAGGAGTCACAGCATCAAACTCCTCCCAGATAACATTCTCAAGACTATTCCTTGTCACCCTGCCCTGATCTACCCAGTCAGAGTCCAAATCCCCCCGGATCTGGGCGATTTTGTCATACAGGTATTGTCCGAAATCCTCCGCCCTGCCTTCTAAGGGATCCTCCCGCACTCCTGGATGGAGCAGGGCGCGGGTCACCCTAAACAGGGCAGCCGGACGATTCCCTGATGACGCAATAGAGGCGGAAAAGTAGTTAGACTTTGCCGTCTCTATCGCCACTAGGTAGGCCTTAATATGCGACCTTACCAGTGTTCGATCAGATTCAGCGAGACTGGCCCTCCAACCGCTCTCCAGGCGTCTTTTCCGGCGCTTCATTTCCCTCAGCTCCTCAGTAAACCAAGGAGCCGCACGGGATCGGCATCGGGTCAGAGGCCGCAAAGGCACAACTCGGTCCAAGGCCCCACCAGCCGCCCGATCCCAGGCGGCTACCAGGTCCTCGGCCGAGTCATGTGCTAGATCCTCAGGAAATGGCCCAAGCTCCGTCTGGAACCTATCAGGATCCATCAGGCGCCTGGGGCGGATCCATCTAATTGGATCCACCTCCCTGCGGCGAGGGGTCGCGGTTCGAAGATCTAGGCGAAGGAGTGAGTGGTCAGACCATGACAAGGGTTCCATGTCTATATCCCCTATAACAAGACCACTCAACCACTGGCCAGAGACAAAAATCAGATCCAGAGTGTGACCTCCCCTGTGAGTAGGGCCATGAACTAACTGGGTCAGGTCCATGGCCGTCATGGAAGCCATGAACTCCCGAGCCACCTCAGACGTTTCACCGACGGATGGCAAGTTGAAATCACCCATGACTAAAAGCCTGGGTGTATCTACTGCCACCGTGGCTATCACGTCGAGTAGCTCAGGTAGGGCTGTTGCCACGCGGCAGGGAGCCAGGTACGTAAGCAACAAGCCCATCTGAACCCCACGGCCCCACCTCACAAGGAGGGACTCACATCCGGCTATCTGAGGCACAGTGGTCTCCCTCGGACCCAGATCCTCGTTAATAATAACCGCCACCCCCCCGCCCCTCCCCTGAGCCCTTGGTTAAATAGATTTTAACCAATCTATTATAGTTTGTATATTTTCATCTTCCATTACCCTATCACGACTTATATTAGTTTTAATCGGCCAATTTTCAATTGTCTTCCCTAAGAAAATTATATCTGGAATTAAAATTTTAACAAATTTGTTCCAAATTTTACTCAGTCCCTTTAACCAATAGCTATTAATTACACATTTTGATTTTGCTTTATCTAAAAACCATGTTGAGCCAAATCTCTTGATGTCCTTTAATTCTAAATCTCTCCAATGACTATCTTCACCTTTAAATATTTTTACCACAGTCCGAATAGCATAAACCCAATAATAATTGAATAATTTAGGGATTCCTAATCCACCTTCCTTTTGATTTTGATACCACATTTTCTTCACTAATCTAGGTCTTTTCCCACCATTACAAAATTTATCCAATTTCTTCTGATATCCTTCAATATCTTTCTCTGTCAAGTTTAACGGTAACATCTCAAATAAAAAATTAAACTTTGGCAACAACATCATCTTACACATTGCAATTCTACCAAACCAAGACAACTTTATCATTTTATATTTATCTATATTTTTCTCAATTTCATTCATCACCACATCATAATTTAATTTTTTCATTTCTTTAACTTTGAGTGAAAGTGTTATGCCCAAATATTTCAATGTTTTTTTAATCCTTATCCCAAGTTGTTCTTGCATATTCTCCCACTCCTTACCATTATTATTCATTAATAATTCCGATTTTGACCAATTGATTTTCAAACCTGTCATTTCCTCAAATTCTTCCAAATGCTTATGTATCCTTTTCAAATCTTTCTCACAGCGATATAGGCAGTGGTGAAATCCAAATTTTTTTACTACTACTTCGGTGGGCGTGGCTTGTTGGGCGTGGCTTGTTGGGCATGGCAGGGGAAGAATACTGCAAAATCTCCATTCCCACCCCACTCTGGGGCCAGCCAGAGGTAGTATTTCCCGGTTCTCCGAACTGCTCAAAATTTCCGCTACCGGTTCTCCAGAACCTGTTAGAACCTGCTAGATTTCACTCCTGGATATAGGATTCCGCCAGAGTGGGTGGGCAAGGTGGATCCATCCACAGATTGCCACTACCGGTTCTCTTGAATCAGTCCGAACCGGCTGAATACCACCTCTGGAACACATAACATTTGCCAGAAAAAGCCTTAACGAAACTAAATGTTCTCCAAAAAGAGATTCATTTGATTCAGCCAATTGCACAGAGCTGTGATTCCCTTCCCACATTCAAATCAGTATTTCAGCAGAGAAATGGGCAAATTTAAGTAGGCTGCAGGCAGATTGTGTAATTCAAAAATGAAATCAAGAACATGTAAAGAACATGTAAAAATAATTTTAAAATGGTCGAATGGAAAAAAATGGGAAACACGGGAAAACAATTGACATATCTTAGTATGAGTTTACCTGGTTGAAAGCCTTGGGCCATTGGATTGCATCTTCAGAAATAGTGAATACTTTGTCAGGGGCATTCGGTGGTGCTACTCTTCCAACTTTGACTCTAAGAAAGGACTGATTTGGAAATGTGATCCAATTAATAATATCAAATCCTGCTATTAGTTCCCCCCTGAAATTAAAGGAAAGCATTTCGCCAACACTGTTGTTAAATGAAACACTTCTCAAGTAGTGGTGAAGCTAGAGGGAGAGAGAAAGAGCACCAAATTATTCTCAGCATCATATTATTTGAACACAGTAACAGTCAAATTGAATTCTGTTTGTCAAAAAAAAAAAATAGTCTGGTGAATGGATTTGTCCCCGATATTTGGAATAGCAGACTTTCCAGTTTTCTTTTTGGAGATTATATTGCTCTTGACATTAAGAAATCTCAAAATTCTTTGCAGTGCTGGTAATAATGGAACATATCAGAATATTTCTATTCTATGTTTCTTGATTTTAGTGAATGAAATTTACTAATCTGGCTAGAGAGATACCTATCGAATCCTTAAAGTATTTTTCTATTACTTTGTAAAAGAAATTTCTTTACAATAAATTAATTGTGACATAGAAGCCTAACAGTGGTGAGTTTTCAATATTCTTACCACTGGTTCGCTGCACATGTGCACACTCACTTCACATGCTTGCATGCCTTCTCCACATGTGCCCGGCCTTCTGTGCATGTGCTTTGCTCATGTGTGTGTCTTCTATGAATGCGCTCCACCTCAAAAACGTGGCCAAATAGGACGGCATTACACTGGGGCGGGTAGGCAGGGGGCAGGGGCCCACCCACAGTCGCCGCTACCAGTTCGCCTGAACCAGTACGAACCGGCTGAACACCATCTCTGAAGCCCAATTAGATTCACATCAAAGTTGATTACAGTCTTTTCCATCAGTTACATAGCAATAAATATTTCACAAATAAAATGAAAGGTATTAAAATCTAATTCATATCCCACCATTGTCTCAAGAAACCAACACTGTGTACAAGAGGATCCTCCTATATTATTGATCGAAGGAAACTACCTGCCAGGTTTGTTGATTGAGAAGCTGTCTCTGCTTATCTCGTCTGGCTCCTTTCTTTGCTGTAGATGAGAACATAGCATGCAAAGCTTCTGCCACTACATGGACAGCATTATAGATGCTATAGCTGTGACTGGTCATGCTCATTTCAAAAATTGACCCAGGAAGTTGACTCAGGTTCTCTTTTCCAGTGCAGATGTCTTCATTCATTGTTTCTTTGGGAATTCTGGAGAAAGAACACTGAAATGCCTCTTTCCAGAAATCTCTGAAAAAAATATCTTCTTTTTGAGATGCGAATTTCATGTGCCGAAGGAACTCGTGGAATCCCAGCACTTCCTCACTGTGGACTGCGAAAGAGAGTGCACCATGCATGAAGTCAATGGGCCAGCTTCGTTGAAAAGACAACGATGTGAAATCCATCTGGGCTACAAAAATCCATACTTTGGTTTTCATTGGGATCTCCTCAAATTCAGACATATGAAGCATTACTCTTATAACCGCCATTGTTTGTATTTCCCCATGCACAACTACCACATTAGAAGTTGCGCCCATAATGATTCTAGAAGTTTTCTCTCCATCTGAAACCATTTTGGTGATTTCGGTTGAAAACTTGAGTTGTGGAAATTTTTCTATGAAGTCAAAGCAGATACCTTCCTGGATAAACTTGGGCAGCTCATTTTCTATGAATCTCTCCCCATTCTCACCCTCAATGAACATCACCCCAATCCATTTCCACTGGAAATAAAGCAGTAGCTGTATAATCCCCTTATATTGCTGGTAGACATCTGGAAATATCTGGCGAAGGAAAACTCTTTGGGATATGTCATTCATCACTGGCGCGGACCCATATGCCAACTACAAAGTATAGCAAACAATTTAAAAGGAAAAATATCTGAGTTATTTTTCTTATTCCAATAAATTGGAATACTTTCACCATTTTGAAATTGCTTGGACCGAAGCATTAACTGTTTTTCAATATAAACATTATTTTTCTGTCTAGACAACATTCAAATTCCATAATAATTCTAGTTCAGCAAACCCCCAATTCAGAAAAAAAGGGGGGTTTGTGAATGTAATAGACATAGACTTACCTTCTCCAAAACAAATTAAAGAAACTTTTCTCAGTAGATTATCAGTAATAAAAACACCATGTAATCTCTTATTCATCATTAAGTGTAACACTAACATAGTTAAACATAGTTTTTAACCTAGTTAAAGAAGCTTTGGAATTCTCCACCATTCATGGGAGAGAATTGTATGCTAATTGAAAATTTTGAATTAACTTTTTTAGTGATCTCTATATAATCATGTATATATTTTGAAGATTGTACTGTCCGGTTTAGGTCCTTTGTAAATTAACATACCACTGAAGCTACAGTGAAATAAACCAACAGAATCCAGATTCACTACATAGAGCAGTATCAAACACCTATCTTTGGACAGAACCTGCATGCTCCTCTGTGTCAACTTTGGAAGCCATATTAGGCCGGAAGCTTCCATGCTGCCACCTTCTCATGTGTGGGAAAATAGAATGGGGGATTTAGTAGAGGGATTGTCTTTAGACATAATAGCATTCTTCCTGTCAGTCAAGGTTAGGCTGATCCTGCATCTGGAGAAGGAGTGGTCGGAGTGCTGTCTCGAGATGGGATGGATGGTGATTGGAGCATGTGATCGACTGAGGAGTGAGGGGATGGTTTTGAGGGTTTTGATTTACTGAGGGGAAACTTGGACCTCTCAGATCCAGGTTTTCCCAGATGTGCCAGTTTACCTATTCTAGTAAATAGAACTTTGAAAAATGCTTGCTTCAGAGTTTTACTTGGAGTTGGGTTTTTTTCTGGAACGCTGGCATTCTGATTTCTGGAAGGCACAGGGAATATTGCCAGAAATTTCTACTCTGTACTGCCTTGGAATTTTGATTACTGAAACATACTGTACCTAGGGCTACCCTTGAAGTGTATTTGGAAACTACAATTGATCCAGAATGAAGCAGTGCAAACAATTCTAGAAGCCTCTAGGGTACATGTAACACCACTTTTGTAATTGTTAAGCTTTTGTAATTTTAATTGGTTCTTATATTTATATTGGTTTTTACATATCTATTTATTATTACATTATAAGATACCCAGAGTCACCCCAAACAACAATATGGACAGTATGTAGATTTAATAAATAAATAAATGAATAAAATAATAAAATAAAATTGTATAGGTTTCCTTATTTTTTTACAATTGTTTAAAGGTTTGGAGTGTAAAGTCTCCTGTCAGCGTTCCAGAAAAACCTCTGCTCCAATTAAAAACTCTGAGGCAAGCATTTTCTCAAAGTTCCATTTATTAGAGTAGGTATACTGGCACATCTTGGGAAAACCCAAATCTGAGAGTTACAGGTTTTCCCTCAGTAAATCAAAACCCCCAAAACCATCCCCTCACTCATCGCTCCAATCACCATCTGTTCTATCTTTAGACAGTACTCCAACCACTCCTTCTCCAGATGCAGGCTCGTCCTGACCTTGACTGATTGGAAGAATGCTATTTTGTCTAATACAAATCTTCAAATAAATCCTCCCTCCTACTTTCCCAGACATGAGAAGGTGGCAGCTTGGAAGCTTCTGACCTAATATGGCTTCCAAAGCTGACATCTCCATGGCATCACATACTCAATTTGTTCTTCAAGGTAAGTTACATGAATAGGAAATGGGAGTTCTGTGGTATATGAAATATGGATTACTTAGCGCTTTGTCATACATCTATTGTATGAGAAGCATGCCTCATTGAATAATTATTTTGACTCTTAAGTCAATATCAGCAGTAAAGAGAGAGCTTTTCCTGAATAGGAATAGGACCTTTTAGGTCCATTCTACTTCCTTAAAGACATCAAGACAATGTCTTGATGAAGAGTATAGCTTGCTTAACTGTACTGAATTAGGGCAACTCACCTGTGGAATCTTATAGATGCACAAGATGGTTGCCATGAAGAGACACACATCAGCATTAGGTCCTCCAATAACCACTGCTATATTAGCCTGCACATCACACTTGTAGTTGGGGATAAACTTGCCTTGTGTAGAAAGAAGTTCCAGTGAGACACGGAAAGTCCAGTTGGGATGGAAATTGCTGTTCAACACATGGAATCCCAGTGTAACATTGTGTAAAATCCTTGGACTTTTATTAATTGTCTCTATAGCAAATTGCAAGGCTAGAATATGCTGGTAGTTCTGAGTTATTACTCTGCAGCGAGAAGATTGCCTTATTAATAATTAGATCTTGCAATCTAAACAAAAAAACTATCTCACCATGGAACATATTTTGGAACCCTAAATATAGACATTTAATAACAATGCAAGAGGGAAGGGATCTAGAAATATTTATTTATTTAAGCCATCTAGAAGATTCACCTCTTGTATAGTTGTAACCATTAATAGAATAACAGAATTGGAAGGGATTTTGGAGGTCTTCTACTCCAACCCTTGCTCAGGCAGAAAACCCTATACCATGTCAGACAAATGGTTGTCGAATCTCTTCTTAAGAATCTCCAGTTGGAGCACCCACAACTTCTGGAAGCAAGTCATGCCACTGGTTAATTTTTCTCACTGTCAGGAAATTTCTCCTTAGTTCTAGGTTGCTTCTTTCCTTGATTAGTTTCCATCCATTGCTCCTTGTCTTGACTTCAGGTGCTTTGGATAATAGCTTGACCCCCTGGAATAGTGCTATCGTATCATCCCTAGTCCTTCTTTTCTTTAGACAAGCCAACCCAAATCCTGCAACTGTTTTGGTCTCCAGGTCTCCCAAGCCTCAGTACTGTTCAATTAGAATTAATATCATCCTTACATTGGGCTTATAATAAAAAAATAATAATGTAATGATACCATAATGTAATGATAGGAGAGAGATGAGTGGAACTTGTGACTGTGTTATTTGTAACTCCTACAAAGAAGATAGGAACTTGCTTCATTAGATCTTTCTATTTTTTCTTCTTCTTTTTTTCCCTAAATCCTTGCAAAATCTTCTATTAATAAAAAAATATTTATTTTTTAAAAAAGAATTAGGGACTTTCCAGGAGATCCAGGAGACTTACATGATATTGTCAAACACATCGAAAGAGGGACTTCTTTCAAAAGTTGTTGGAGTAGAAAATACGTAGATTTGAGAGAGAATGCCGCCGATGATAAAGTCACCCGGATGGTAATGCTTGTGAAGAATAGAAAGCGGGAGGCTTATAGGGCATTTCACAGGAAGGCTGCTAAAGACTCCTTCAAACATTAGAACCACTAGTATTGATAACATACACAGCACCATCTTGAATGAAGACCTTACTTTCCTGTCATGTATTCCTATTTTGTTGAGTAAGATTCGTTGGCTTGAATAAACAGGTATTCAATGTCTGATCTTAATAATAAATATGATCAAACAGTTCAAATATCCTATCTTAGAATGTTTATTCATAGCAAGTAGTAATCTTGATTCAGTGTTTTGCTCTCAATTATTTTGATTCCCTCAGGACCTCTCCACCACCTAAACAGGCAGTTAGCAAGACTACCAAGGAATCTCCACCCTAAACAAGGGACAAATGTGATGGTAGAGTAAATTTATCCACTTTGGTAAACTAATTCCTTTTCCCTTTTGATTGAGTATGTAGCATTACATCATTCTTGACTCCTAGACATCGCAGAGATACTTCCCTTGAGAGATGAGTGACCCAACATATTTATCAGCCTGTGATAGTCCCGCAAAATGTTTTCTGAACAGGTGTTTAAATCTTAATTGTAATTCTTAATTACAAAATTAAAAAATTAATACTTTAATACTTTATTTTTCATTGCTTTACTTATTAATACATTTCTGTTAATAGCTATCTGAATATTCCAAATAGAGCAGCACATGATTTTCACGCTGGGAAGGTGAGTGAAGGGGTCAATGTAAAATAAAATATTCCAGTATTTAAAACAATGGATTTGGAAAAAAATGATAATAAAACTATTTTTAAAAAAGACGGCAAACTTTTGGAGGCTCTCTTTATAGCAGTTGTTGTTGCATCATTGCCATCTTGGTTTCTTCCCCACCTCCACCCGTCAATGTTCTGCAATTGTATCCTATTAACTTCTCAAAAATATTTGGAAGTCAAAGACTTGGCAAAATGGTTGAAGAGATTTGGGCTAAGAAAGACCTTCTTCAGGAGAACGTGTACCCTTCCTCTTTCAAAGCTGATAGGATCTC